TCCCCCTCCACAGAAGTTGTAGCAATTTCCCTCCTCAGTCTTTGTATTTGGAATGTTCTACAGAATTTCGCGGACAATCTAGTCAGCATCGTTGATTAGACATGCCAGTTTTGGCAACAAACTCGACTAACATCAACAACAGCAGCACCACCACCAACAACAACAACAGTAACAACAATACCAACAACAAAAACAACAAAAGCAGCAACATCAATAGCAACAACAACAATAACAACAACAGCAGCAACAACAACAATAACAACAACAACTATAACGACAACGACAACAACAACAACAACAACGATGAAGACGACGACTACCACAACAAACCATATTACTTCTCGTCAAAGAGGCTGGCTGGATCTGGCTCTGACGACTTTTGGTTTTGGTACATTCATCTCTCCCACCTCGTCGATTCACTCATTTCACAATGGCAACTTCTAACTTTAGAGACGACCAAGAGAGAAATGTTGACAGTAAACTGGTCATTCTGCAACTGACTGTCATCCGCTTCATTCAGCTCCTGTCACAGTCTCCCTCGTGGCCTGGCAGATGCGCGTCTTTTGTGCTCCGTTCAGTGATTTCATTCGAGACCTGCCATTTTCCCATTTTCCCATCTTCTCCTTCAAGCGTCTGCCGGCATGGTTACTCTGGCCTCACGGAATAGCTCCACAAAGAGCGTGAATTGTCAACTTCGATGAGAGCTGAACTCACGACTGCAGTTTGTGATGATATCATTTGGCCGAGGAAACGAGTAAATCTTGTCGTCAAGCCTTTCCTCGACGGAGCACTTCGATGAGCCAATCCGGGATTCTGGTCCATTTGGTACAATTGACTCACCCCTTTCCCACTCGCTCATGTGGCCAATTTCACATGTTGCAGTTCTCCACTTGCTTTGCTTTATGCTTTCTCTCGACAGCCTCTCCTTTTCGGTGAAAAACACAGCCTCAATCAAGTCATCTTCTTTTTGCCGAGTTCGCTACTTTGGGTCAATCTTCCTCTAATTCTGCTCTCCTACACTCTCCTGTTGCCCAGACACACTCTCCACTCTTGCATTTTCTTCTATCCTCGCCACATGACACAAGCCTTCTTTGCCCGAAATGCATACGCATCTTTCCGCAGAGTCTTTGCTGCTCCTTGATTGGAATGCTGATGTTTATTCCCATTTTTCACCTACACGCATCTGCCGGCCGGCGGTTGCAGAATGTTCTGCGACAAATCACCAACCGAGTCAGCTTGTCCAAATGGAAACGTGTGTGTGAAAAATCATCACCTTAAACGAAACTGGGTGAATACATCCCAAATGACAGATCTTTTGTTGGACTCTTTTTCACACAAACCAGCAATCGTCGGCTCTTCTCTTCAACCGATGCTTGCAAGAACATCCGACACGAAAGCAAACTGTTTACCCGAAAGCCTTACAAGTTGTGGAAGCAAATCTCCAATAAGACCATATTTAGGGTCATTTGTGCCGTGAGCAAGCGACTAGTTGCGTGACTTGATGCAGTTTATTGGCAAGATCGGGAATGGGCTCAGACAGAATGTGGGAAACTCGACCAGAAAATAACGTCACTTCTTGAATAATAACTTTGTCACTGCAAAAGATCCAATGACTCCTTTCAGCCGAGTCTTGCCAAGTCACCACAAGCCTTCTGGGGTGACTATCCTCCCATTTCGGTAGGTTCGAAAGTGTGCGATTGATTAACTTGGCCCGAAAAGTGTGAAAAACAACAGAAAATGAGACGTATACTACTTATAAGGGACCACAGTCACAGGAACATCATACAGAACATTGCGAGATAAAATTGAAGGACTTGAATGGAGGCGCAATTGGAGCGAAAAGTGAACACTGTCTACCTTTCATGGCCTCCACGGTAGAATGCAGTCTTAGCGCAATTAAAAAGTGACATCCTCTTCACCTAAAAGCAACCATTCATAACGAATTCTGTCAATTTTGCACCAATGCTTCTGAAATACTACTTAGTACAATTCAAGTAGCAAATACTCTAGGCGAAGAATTTGTGAATATTAAATGATTTCTCGTGATTAGTGCTGATATTTGTGCAGTCAATTATTTGTATATCTCGCCCTGCTTGGGCATCCAACATGAATTCTATGTATAGCCTCGTCTCTGTTGGTCCATGTAACTGGGTTTTGGAACAGATATATAAAATAAACTATATTGTTTATGCAATGCATTAGGGCTCAAATGTTAGCATATTGCACTCTTTATTAGAAGCTTGTCAAAGCTTGGGTGAAAAAGGTAAAAGCATTGGACACGTTCTGTTTGGAGATCGAATTGGATGCCTGTAGATACATTTGTTTATGGGAAATCGGCCCCATAAACTCATGAGTGTTAGAGTAGAACAGTTAGTTTTGAAAAGAAGTTTTATCACCGCCACACAACAGCTTCGTATAAACAGGTTGTCTTGCAACACGCCCTC